TTCTTATCCATACAATTGGCTTTTGCTCCAGTAGTAGTCTACTTTTGACATTTGCACTAAACCCATCTCGATGACTATCCCCAAAAATTCCAGCATTTCTTTGTTAGTAGTTGATTCCCATTGAAGATTTTTTGATCGTTTGCTAAGTTTATGTGTTAGTAAGTATTATTCTGCATATCTATTAGTTTCGCGAACCATAAGGCTTATAATCTCGTCGGTGATGAAATGTCGATAGCAATCGATAGGATTGATTGTACCATCTTCGGAAATTGGCGGTACTTGTTCAACAATTCCATGATCCTCTAGAAATTCACCATTAGATTCTGATTCTATTTCACTCCAGACGTTTGAATCCATCTCATCATCAGTGACTTCTTCGTCGGAACTTGCAGATTCCAAGTGCATTCCAACAAAATCATCATCCAAAGAACTCACTTCACTGAGTGAGTCAACGCTATCTACTGTATTGGCTTCTTCTGACGGCATGTAAAATATTCAAGAATTCTGACAATTTTGATCGCTTTTATACTGATGAGCAGCAATAAGCAGAATAGACACGAATTCAACAGAAAAATCTAGAAACTTCCTATCCTTATCTCGCAAGTAATGTATACTACATATTACAGAACGAAAAAATAACTTGAGTCATTATACAGCTGGACACGAGATTCGATTCACTATCTAATTGTATAAACAAGAAGGACGGTAAAAAAATCGGTAGGACAGAAAGAAAAGGTCAGTAAGTGCATTTATTAGAAGTTTATTCTTCGTGGAACGAATATCTCGATCAATTTCTGTACGAAAACTAAATCGCCTCGAATGAGTTAAACAATCTGTCTCTAAGATCTTGCGCGACTCTCATAAGTTCCAATGCACTAAGAACCAAAAGTATCCCTTTCCGATCTTACGTTAGTTTCTGTGAGAACTAAAAGTTGGAAAATTCGTTTGCTGGTAAGTTCATAAATAATGTAGGTTAACAGTAACCTCATCACAAAAATTGCACAATCTAGTACCAAGGATAAGGTGTGGGTGTGGGTGTGGGTATGCGGGTGTGGGTGTGGGCATGTGGATGTGGGTGGGTGTGGCTCTTTTCTTCGCCCACAACCACAACCCACATCCACACCCACACCCTATAAAAAGAAAATTTTCTGGAGCCTTTCATAATACTTTATAGTGTCTATGCCACCACGTTTGGGATGCGATGAGTTGATTACAGTTGCATCGACGTCACAACATGCGGATGTAGTCTAATACA